TTTTTCGTTTTCCTTTAAAAAAAAATCTGAAAACAATGAGAAATATAAAATTCGCGCAATTCACCAAGAGATCATGTCATTGAACACTCGAACTTGGAGTTATTTCCAATAAAATGTTTTATACCGACCTATTTTTAAATACTGGCAAGTAAGTATATATAAGCAGCACTAACATAATATTCAATAATAATATTTCAATCAAACTTACTGTTAAAAATTTCATAACTTATTTACATAATATGAGAATATATAATAAAATTACTTTCCCTACAATCGAGTCACAACCAAAAGATAATAGTTTACACGAACAGATATCATAATTTTTAGATTTGTATTTTTTAATTGTTGCTAATTGTAAATGATAAATTTATTCTCTTATCTGAATCACTGTTCCCGCAATTTTTTTGGACTATTGAAGAAATTAACGACCTCGAAAAGCCTATCCCACTTCCTTGGTCGGCAATTACGTGCACGTTAAAGGAAGTAGGTACTCCCTCAGGACTAGTCGCGCGTTGATAATAGGTCTTTTCAATGGAATCCTTAATGATTATTCCTCGTTATTCCGAACTGTTTCACCCGCCCTTCCTTCACTTTTAATTTTGATTCCTCTCCGCGTCATCAATAGATTTTACCTGATCTGTTAGAATTCTGTTCCATTCTTATCATATTCGTTAAATCGGATAAAATCGGTGACAGAAAATTTCCTGAACCACGGACTTAAATATCGAAACTTAAATTGCTTTTATGTCATCGAAACTAAATTTTCAAAATTTAATTAAAAATTTTGAAGTAAATAAAAGCTTAAAATAATATAAACTATTTCAGAGTAATCAATTTTTGATATAATAAATTTAAATATCAAATTTCAATAAAATTTGGTGCAAATGGAAACTTTATCGATTTTTCCTTCAATAATGTATGCTACATTCTTTCTCATGCAAATGAATCTTGTAATTAACCCTAATACTTAATTAAATCTTTTTCAGAATATTTATGACTACTTAATTTTGCATCGATTTAGTTCAGCGCAATAATGTGAAATAAATCGACAATAAAAATACAATTAATAGCGTAATTTGTTAATATTATTTAGTAATATTATATGAAATTAGCATTATTTACGTACTAAATAAGTACATTAATATTCATTAAAAAAATAATTATCTATTTTTATAAACTTCAAAGTGCATATTTTAAAATATTCGTTGTTCTTCGAAAATCTGAAACCTGCAAGTAAAACTACGCTCGAAACTAAACTCGATATGCTCCACACGAAATTTTGGCGGTCGTGATTGAAGATTCTCTCTTTTAGTCCCGCTTTTTCTATGCCAAGAAAAGAGGAGAATAATGTTGAAAAATTTCGATTCTACTCATCGCGCGGTTACGCCGTGAGCTTTTTACAATATTTCACTTTTATGAATAAGAATGCAGCCCACGCAAAGCAGATCTTCGAGGACGACGGAACTTCCTCCGGAAAGACTCTCTTCGAAGTTCACCTAAACCCTTTTAAAACTTCAGGGTGCCTGCTCGGCACCCTCCTTCTCACACATCTCTCTTTCGAAAATCCCTAACGAAACTTAAATTCAAATCTTGGCGATGCCGCGCTCTGTGTTCTCTCAGAGTACAGTTTAGCCTCCCTTAAATTTCCAGTTAGCAGAGCTAAACCAAACTCAAGCCTGTATGTATCTATGCCTTATATGTATATGTATGTACATTTGCGGAGTACATGTTGAGTTCATTATAGTTTGTGGAAGAACATCGTAGGATCATGTAATCGTTTTAATAACCTGTACAGTCATTAAACACAATAGTTTTCTAGATTAAATTATTTTCATTAAATTGAATTTTACGTTTTATATTATGACAATTTTTTAATATTTTTCTTCACATGAAATTATAGATAGATTTCTATTTTACGATTTATCTAAAGCGAGTTTAAATAATAAAAAAATTAATATAAATTTTTATAAAATTTTACCAAATCAAATATTTAACGTTGTTTAAAAAAATTTCAAAAATCCAAATAAAACAAAGTATCAGAATTTTAGAGAAGATATTATATTTAATATATGTATACCGAGTAGAAGAGACGATGTTCCACGATATCTTAATCGAATGCCGCGAGCAACTCTGTTTCTTTCCTTTCAATACTCATGTATCGATACACGCGTGTAGTTTAGCATAAGAAGCACAGGAGAAAAGTCTGAGAATAACCATTCTGGGGCGTTTGTCTTGAAACGCTTACAAACGCTTCTATTTAACCGTTGCATTTTAGAATTAAAACTACATTGTATTATATAATTAAATGTGAACTATATTTCTGATTAATAATTTATAGATGCAACACGAACATGCACGAGCAGGCAGTGTCGTTTACCGACAATGTCGAAAAGTGGATATGGCTATGTACTTGCAGCTCCACAATGAATGCAAATAGCGGTATTGAATAGGGATCGATAAGCTTCCGATAAACGCTAAGAAGGCTGCTCTCAGACTTCTCTCTACTAATACATAAGAGACACGCTTCGTGGCAATAAGATAACCTCAGCGAGCCGTTTTCCGAGTGGATTTTCTTGTTCCACTCTCCATATCTCACGTGTGCGTCCAAGAGCAAGCTTGGTGTGATTTTATGATGCGCATGATTTCGCTTCATATATTTCATGAATATTATGAAAAATATATTTAATCGCAGCAAACAAAAATGGCTGAGATAACCAAATTTAAATTATAAATCACTCTTTATGCAAGATGCGTTATCTCTAAACTCAGCATTTTTAATCGCGAAAGTTTAATATTTATATTAAAATGCGAGCAAGCGTTAACTTTTACATTGTACAACATATTTAAAACGCATTTAAAGATAAAAGATCTATCATTTGCTTATATCAAAATTGACATAAAGATTAAAACGATTGAATAAAATAAAGCTAATTAGAAGATATATTAATCGATATGTTGTACAAATGTAAATAGTTATTATAAATAAAAATTGTATAATGCTATAGCCAAAATTCTCAATTTTTCTCAATTTTCCATGATTACAGATTTGCATAATCATAGATATTTTATAATCATAGACCTAATAAGTCAAATGTTAGCAATATTAACAGATTGGCAGCAAATTTCATCAAATAACTGTCAATTTGTCATTGATATCATTTGGCTAAGAGGATGTAATTTTAAATAAAAAAATTGATTCTAATCAGTATTCATATAATCTATTAACAAAATTGATATTATTTTTAAGATATCGTTTTTGTGCATGCAGCTTTAATGATGAACGCTCATTGCGTATGAATCAATGCATGTCAATATTCTCATCCTATGGATCTTTGATGATTAATTGTACACTAATATCGTACTAATACCGCAAATGCGGATTCCAAACGTACATTTAAATGTTGGAGAGCTAGGCGGCTTAGACTCATACATCTATGCTGCCAATCAATTGCTGTCGATGGTTATTACTGTATCGACAGTTTCGCGACATATGTGAGATATCGCGTAGCATCGGATAAATCATCTAACATTTAAAAATTGCTCAAGTCAAAGAGAACGATTGGTGACATTTATCGAACATTAAACGGATAAGTTTCATACAAAAAGAATCACAAGTATTTTGATATGAAAGCTGTAACAGAGAAAAACTTTTATAGTAAGTTAAGTATTCTTTTTGATTAATGCTGGAAACGTGTTCTCCCTCTTTTTGATTAATTCTAGATAAACTATATTTTCAGAAAAATATAATTGTTAGATATCCAATAATGAATTTAATAATTATATTTATATATTAATGTCACGATTATGTGTTCAGTTACCATTCTGTATAATATTGCAAAAGATTAATTACATTTGATTGTTTTCTATAATTATTTGAAAAAGAAAAAATTTTCCTAAAATATCTTCAACTCAAAGTAATTAATTTTTTCTTTTTAAATAAAAGCTGCCAAGCAAAAATCTCAGGAAATGGGAATGGATTCATATGACAGTTCGAAGCAGCACTCTGCTTGCTTTTGTGCGAACAAGTCCTTAGCTGAAGCACGATTTCAACGTTGCTCTGACCACGGTAACGCGTTCGTTTGCCAGAACATCATTTTTCATCCGTCGCCTCTCATCTGGAGTCTCGACTATGATTTATCGCGCCGCCGCACCGGCGAAAAACTTGCTAATGCGTACCGTGCAACGGCAGGATGAAGATGCACTGCCGTTTCCGCAGCAGGAGAAATCCCGCAAGTATCGACAGGGTTTTCAGCGAGCGCGTTAGTGGAAATTAATCTCGGCTTCGTCGCCGATCACGCTTTTTCTCGACGATTTCACACCGAAGAAATTCGCAAAAACTTCTCGTCAAAGAATAATATTTAATTTGCTGTCTCAATACTAATTTATTATGCAAAATTATTCGCAAGCTGAATTTAGTGCAATCAGTATACTAATTTACATATCATTTACATATACAGAAACTCCAAATTTATCAAGAGTTGGTTAGAAAAGCGGTATATTAATTCAAAATTATATTGTATATAATAAATTTACGATAAATACATATATAATACGTTCCAAAAAAATTCCAAAAATCACATGAAACATAGATATCAGAAAACAGAAAACAGATATATTTATAATTATTAAAAAAATTTGATTATTTGATATAAAGATTTTTGTTTAATACTGAAAACTGTTCCTTGATTAATTCTAGATAAACTTTGTTTTAGTCTAGAGAGATATATAATTATAATATTTTTATTAATAACTTTTTTTAAGAAAAATAAATTTAAAATTTATCAATACTATACTCAAAAAACACGTAATCTACATTAAATTATAGAATAAAATAGACACAATTGCGCGAATAAAAAATATCGTGGGCATATTCACCGTAAATTGTTATATAATATAAAGATTTATTAGGAAACATGAGAAACCTTCGGTGTGAAATAATCAAGAATTTCCACAATCTCACATATTCTACAAAATATTTTTAAAAAAATCAACTGACTCACCAATTGAACGTCGTCTCGAAGAATTTCTGGCAGTCATCGCGCTCCTTGGCGAAGAAATCGATGCAACTGCTTTATCTGTAACATAAACATAGATCAAAGATGAAATATTTATTATGCGTATTAAGACGTAATCCGCGATCGCGTTTGTTAGACACGTTTGATCATCGCTCGATTAGAAAACTATCGGAGGTTCGCCTGCTGCATTATGCAAACTCTGGCACGTGTTGCGCCGAAAGTTGGCGCCGTTTAATGCGTTGATAAAATCTCAATTATAGTTCGCGACGTATCGTGCAAGACGCCGATATCTACGACCGGCATCGTACAATGTACATGGTTGCATAACATTAATGTATCCAACTCGCAAATAATCACTGATGTGTTTCATGTTTACGCAGTGTATAAAATTTCGTTGACAAATTCAGGAAATTTCTTATTTACAATATGAAGTCACGAAAGCCATAATTTGTTCCATTCAAGACATCCAGTATAATAGTAAATATTTCAATAAATAAAAAGAAAATAAACAAAGCCGATTAAAAATATATGAAACGATAAAAAATTGTTCTAACTTATTATGCTGTATAGTGATTGCGTCAAAAATCCATATACGTTTTAATACATTGATAAAATCTCAATTGTAAAGTGAGATGTATAAAAGTCGACAGTAGTCTATACATCGCGTTGGCAAATCGTACGGCAAATAAGTGCACATAAAGCTTCGAGGGAAAACCCAAGCTATTACTTAGCGGGCTTATTGGCTAACGGCGCGGCCGTTACAGTTTCACGCTGGACGCACGAGATACGATGAATCGCTGTATCTCGTGCCAGATTTAATTGAAGCCTTTACATAAAGATGTGGAGTCGAGGTTTATCTACCGCGGGGCTGAATATGTTCCACGAGAACGCGAGAAACGACATTGCCTCCTCCACATCTATCAGATAAGATCTGGCGCATGCAATCCACGAATTATCTGAAAGGACAATTTTACGGGCGTAAAAGCTGCTATTTAAAGTCTGAATGAGAGAATAAAAAGTCTATTATGTGCGACTATTGGAATATTTATCCTTTAAAAAAGTATTTAAACGGATAAACACAATTGCTAACAGTTACTGTGCTGGAAGCAAGATATGAGCTTAAACCACAAAGAGCAAAATTTAAAAGAGAATAACCAGACAATTTAAAAATTATTGCATTAATTTAATGAAATAAATTTAATAAATTTAATAAAATTTAAAAATTATTGCATTAATTTATTCGTAAACGAATAAATTAAACGAACATCCTAGTTTCTTCGAAAATAACCACAAAATTAGTTAGAAAACAATTATATAAAACAATTATATTAACTCAATTCTCTTGGAAGTGGAACTTAAAGTTGTATCACTCTTACAATTAGTATCTTAATTATGTAAAAGGATACATAAGACGAAAAAGGTAAAGTGGACTCATCTTGTCTTAATTGAAGTGTGCTACAAACGTAGCCACGAGAGAACGGCATCTTTCATTATTAGTGCAGCCATGAGGAAAATTTAAGTCTTTCTACTTGTCTTTACATCTCCTTGCTATTGTCTTGAAAAAACAATTACAGAAAGATTTTATATTTATATATATATTGTGTTTAAAAAATTTATTTTATACGATTTTGTTAACTTTTTATATTTAAAAAATATTTATATATAGTAAATACTTTAAATTAACATGTTAAATTCTCAATTAATTAATTAACCTGTGCCGCTATTTCTTGTTTTATCCAAACAAAGCAAACTTTATACAATTATAAAATTCTAGTATAAAATTTTAATCGTATTTTAATTTTAATAGTATAAAAATTTTAATTTTTCTTCTCTCTTAACCATTATAGTGTTTCTGATCACTTTTTTTTCTAAAAGTAAAATTAGCGAAAATAATACAACCAAAAATTTATACGATGTAAAATCTTTTAATTATCGCAAACAAACTGGAATATACACTTTGTAATTTATCAAATTATCGCTTTTAATACAATATGGAAAATGTATTCTGTAAAATATAAATTAATAGAGCGATAAAATAAATGTTACTGTGTTGTAATACGCGCAGTGTATTATAGTATATCGAAATGTTTCCATAAGACACTCAACTCTTTCACGATCGGTATAATGTCAGTACATAAAGAGTTATAAAGTTCCTTTGTGGACGCAAGGGATTTTCTGTTAAATCGGATGAAATTCTAGAATTTGGATATATCGAAATTAAATATTGAGAAATGTACGAAAATAGTGTGTGTAAAATGCGAAAAAATATCACGTTTTAATTTTAGAAATCAATCACCACAGCGACTATGCAATATATATTTTTCCGATTTCATTAAATATTCTCGCATTTCAAAAGATTGATGGAGATCCATGACCAATCCAATATAAAAGTAAATTCTTTCAGCAGATTTCCTAAAAATTTACGGATATTAATATTGTGAAATTTTTCAACTTTACTTTTTGGTGATAAATTTGCCATTTAAACCAGTTAAGAATTAATGAAGACAAGTATGCGCATTATGTGAAAACTTTACAGATTCATCTTAGTATCGAGAGTACAGAGAATCTCTATTCACAAAAACTCTTCTTATACAATAAAAAGTTTAAATTATAAAAAGTAAAAATAAAATTTCCAAAGATTGTGTGAATGGATTGAAATAGAAATAAAGTGGATTAAAATAGAAATAGAATGGATTGAAATGGAAATAGATTGAAATAGAAAGAATTTAAAAAGCATTACTTTTTTGATAATAACTCACTTATACAATAAAGTTTGCAACTCTCTCTCTCTCTCTCTCTCTCTCTATATATATATATATATATATATATATATATATATATAATTTTTTATAGTTTAATGAAGAATGTTATATACATAGTTATGAAATTATTTAAATAAAATAATTGAATAAGAATTTCTAAAATAAATTTCTGAGAAAAATGCGTTTACTGATATATGTCTCACAATCAGTATTTTCAAGTACCTTATTTTTCTCACTTTTTGAGAGATAGAAGCCACAATTTACGCGCTGTGTGTTTGTTAGCCTCATTTTACTTTTGAGTTATCACCGGTAACTGCCGCGTGGAAGTAATTACTGCCTCTTCTCGGGAGTGCGGCAACGATTAATCGCCGCTACTGCTTATCATAATTAATTGCAGCGTATAACGAGCAGAAGCGCCGCGCCGAAATCCGCGGCTCGACAACACCGGAGGTTCCCATGAAATCCCGCTCGCGCGATATTCAATAGCTTGCAAGCGCGGTGGGCCGCGGATTTATCGTCGCTCTGGCGCCGGACATTTATCCGGGAGTGGGTGGCGTTTTAACGGGCTCGATATTTAACGGGCGTCGCCGATAATATTTCTCGCTGCTCGCTCGTCGACGATGGTGGAACAGCTAGCGGGGACCAAAAAATGGGGGACAGTCGCAGGAAGAGAGCAGAGAATCGCTCCCACAGGGCAGATCACCCGCCGATAAAACGCGTTAATAACGATAATCAGTTCATAAAGAGAGGTGGGGCGGCAGAGGTAGTACAGAACCGTCAATTTTATTACGTCATGATTTTTCACGACATACACGGATAGGGTGCCCCGCACTCCAACGTAAAGTTAATATTAAAGTAAAATAATTTTATGAGCCATAAAAAGAGTAAAAAATAAGATCAGCGTAAAAAATTAACATAAGGAATGAAAAGATGTGTTTTATAATTTTATAGAAAATAATATTTTTCAATAAAATTCTTGAAGTAATAATCGGAACATCGAAAAATATATCAGCTTTCTTGAAACAACTTTTGATTGTAGAAAAGTAACCGTCCGAAAATTAAAAAAATTATCAAAATTTTATTTTATTTAATTATTATTTTTTCAGAATTGTCAAAATTATATAATCATGAGAGAACTTTTTTTAGTGCATTGAGTGTATCATTAATTATGAAGCATTAAATGTTTTTCCCTTCTAAAAGTTGGTTTGCACAAACCAATTAATTTTCCTTCTTTCAATTTCTCAATAAAACAAAAAGACAGTAAATAAAAAAATATTGACTGAGAAACTCATTTAAAGTTTGAAGCATCTTTAAGACCTATGAAAGCTGTATATCTTGTGTACATATAATGCACATTGTATTTATATATTAAATCGAGAAATACGTCAAATCGAGAATAGTTTACGAAGAATCACATGGCAGTTTTCTATCCTCGTCATCTTCACCAAGAATTCTCTTTTTCGACAGCTTTATTACGTTGCATCGCGATACCGTAGATCGCGCGCTTCAACGGAAACATTGACGTTTACAATAATTGAAACCCGATCCGATGACGTTTGCAATAATTGAAAGCTAGAGTTACTCCTCGAACGGCGGCGTACGACTGTTCGATCGATCGTCTCTACGAGAATTTCTATTAAAGTTCCGGCAACCCGGAGTTACAAGAACTCCATTCCTGAAACCGGTGGATGGGCACACGTGTGCACTCCGACAAATGGTTTTCGTGTATCTCTGCTGCGCGGCACAATATGTTAGAAAATGCGAAAAAACGACATGTTTACGCACGTATAAAACGTTTACCGAAAGGAAGATTATGCGGGACATACAATAGACATTACAAAAAGAGAGAATGTCTTTAGTCTGCATCTGGTAAACACGACGTCCCGGCGGCAATATTCGCGATGTGCACGAAGAACTGCAAACTCTATTTTCCCCACGACTGATATCCCAACCTTACAGCCAAAAAAGAACGATTAGATACTCGTTTTTCTAAGTTTCCTGCGAATTTATGTTACGATAATTCTTCACTGGAAATGCATCCCCTCGATGGCACTGAAAATATTATGCGTGTACAGAATTTAGTAAAAAAGTACGCGTTAGATCGATAGACTTATAATCATAAAAATATGTGACCAATAAATAAAAATAAAATGCTAAACATCGAGTATCAATAATATTGCTGATATTATTGAGAAAAACAAAGAAAATAGAAATAAACTATTGTGCAATTTATTATGTAAGCACATTCTATTATATTGAAGTTTTCTTTTTACTTCACATAATTTTCTACGTAAAAGG